TGTCGTTGTCGTTGTCGTTGTCGTTGTCGTTGTCGTTGTCGTTGTCGCTGTCGCTGTCGCTGTCGCTGTCGCTGTCGCTGTCGCTGTCGCTGTCGCCGTCGCCGTCGCCCTCGCCCTCGCCATCGCTGTCACCGTCGTTGTCGTTGTTGTTCTTGTTATTTTGAATCATATTTGGTTGGAATATAGATTCATGTTGTCTTTCTATACATCTTTATCTAACACGTAGTCGACAATTGTGTAATAAGACTTTTCAACTAAAGTACTTTTAATTTAAATTTTAAACTTAGGAAATGGTATTCTTAATAATTATGATCTTATTGTAAAAACGTATACAGTTCCCCATAAAAGAATCGTTTACCTTAGTTAAACGAAATCGTGATACCATGAGTTTGGACTTAGTTCCAAGGTTAATATTATGGATATCTTCTTTCTAACGAAATTATGTATATTTTTACGGGCATACAAAATATTTGAGTATGTAGTGTGATGCCACAGTCATGGCATTGGTCGTCTTAAACTTTTCTCTGAGAGAAACCCGAGAACCTAAACGGTATACAGAATGAATGTAATAGAATAATATTACATCCTTCACAACAATAGGTTTCAATAAAAATTCGGTGATATGTGTACTATGTTAGTAATACAGTAGCAAACGGCAAATGCAGCTTTCCTTACATCAACTGTGAAGAACCCGTCTCGCACAGAAATTGGATCTACACTGTATTAGATCTAGCAATTATAGGATGCACTATAACTCGCCATTTACTGAGACTCTAAAGGAAATATTAAATATAAATATTAGACAACAAGACATACGTCGCTTTGATTCCAAAAGTAAGTAACGAAAGCACTTGTGTTAAGGGATTCGGAAACAACGGCTTATTATATGGTCCGATATTTTCTCCGACCTCCGTGGTTAAGAAACCACGGAAGTCGTCAAATATTTCCATTCTACAAAGCCCTTCACGTGTACATATCCCTAAATTTATGAAGTATTAACTTAGTGGAGTAGTCATTTAATTCAGAATGAAATCAAAAACATAATTATTCTTCAGTCTAAATTATAAATAGAAACGGTATACAAGACCATCAAAAATCTCAACTGCCCATCAGTGAACAGGTTCGCTCGCACAGGTCATAGTGTTCTTCCCGCATAACCAAGAGTTTGATAAGGAGGGGCACTATAAAAGAATTTATGTAGAAAGATAATGGGACTGATCATCAGTGGCACAAGAAATCAAACTGTGTGTAAATTTTAATCCTTGGAAATAAAATTACCTCAACTCATTGAACCATAGTTACAACTGGGCCTGGATTTCTATAAATAAATATCTTGTCATGATAATGACTACCCTGATATTAGATAGTAGTTTCAGTTTTCTTTTTTTTTGTACACAGGAATTTTGTTTCTATTTTCTTTTTAAACTAAGGTTTTTTTTTGTAAATGCCGTATACGCTAATAATGGTACAACGTGGGTACAACATACGGTATAAAAATTTATATGTTAAAACAGTGTAAGTTTCTCTATGTATGTGCCGATGGTGTATCTAAATAAATAAATAACTTTCTATACATATTTTTACCCTTTTTGTTACTAGATATTTTCACTGGAAAAGCGAGTTAGGTTTTAACCCCGGTGTACGTACGCTGTAACGTAACGTACATTGATCTTATACAAAAATTAAAGAATTAACAAAAGAAACACACAGCTCAGCTCTATGTACATACAAAGATTTTGTATCCAACCGTGATAGAGTTAGTTCCTTTATTTCAACACAATTTCAACATCACTGCGTAGTTTGTTGCACTGCATAATTTTTTTAAACATGTTCTTTCGCCAAGATCTATGACAGTTGTCGCTAGAGCCAGTGTAAAATAACTTAATCGCGTTATACCCGAACGGGTGACGATTTCAATCGTTAATACGGTCACACTTATGTATTATCATTGTATTATATACAGATTGGCAAAAAAGAGTATGGATTTAATGAGGGTGCCTAGATCAAATTTGTGGCAACTCGATATACTACGAAGAAAAATGTTTAGATACTTGTTATTTTTATTTATTGTTAAAGGCTTTTAGCGCCCAGATACACGGCCCGAAAACTTTCTTGGTAGGCAACAACATTTAAATTTCTCGGAATAATACAACCGCACGTTGTCCACGCGGTCGCCAAGTGGACGAAAGCTAAGCCAGGCTCGTATGAAATTCTCCAAACCGTTCTCTTATTTCCAAAATGGGATGAACCCAAAATCATCTCACCTCTTTTTTTCTTCTTTGCATTATTTGTATAAGTAATAATGCAATAACAAGTTGTTTCTTTGTAGTTAAATTTCGCATAATTTTAGTAACTGGACGAACCCAAGTCGGCAAGCAGTAATATGGTGAAATTTTTTTTTTTGTAAGTCAATGCCCCAGCTGATCTTTTTTTCCTTCTTTCGGAAGGGTTTAAATAGTAAAAGTTCTTAGTATTATGTAATGGGTTAAATCACCCGCCGTTCGGGTGTATCGCAATAGACACCAAGTATAAACGAAAGCTTATAGTATATAAACATGTCAATGTTTATTTTTGACTTTCGAAGTAGATTTGGAAAACGCCAACACGTAACATCGCACACCTTCTAGAACTATTAATAACAAGTATGAAAATGTAAAAATCGATTGACTAAAATAGTACGTAATGTTGCTCTAACACTCTATAACAGCAAACTACCTTATTTGTATGGCCTGATAACATTGAAGTCGGAAATGGTTTACATTAGTTTCTGTTACCGTCTGTCTGGTAAATTTTTACACACATGCAATATAAAAAATATTTCATGGATACACATTATAAATATAATAAAGCTACAAATCCTGAGTCACTTAGAAAAATAGAACGCATACTTCCCGATGTGGTGGAAAAAATATATTTATACCGTTGTACGCGGTTAGATTCCAAGACAAAGAATCAAATATGAGAAGACCTGAATGTGGAAAATGTAAAAACTACAATACATTTTTATGCACTTTTATGAGATACGCCTTGGTCAATTTCCGCAGAAAGTAAAAAATGTTCGAAATTCAAATAAACAATTTTCTTAACATAATACACTGCGTTTCTTATAATTTCTTTATAGACCACCAGTTAATAGAGTCTATCCCACCAAAACATTACTATAAAGATATTTTAGTAGTCCTAAATATACTGCAATAATATTGAAATTTTAACTCGATGTCAAGTTCAGGGACTTTTCCGTATAATAAGTAGGGTCGGTGTCTGGCCACTCCTCGGCAAACATGCCAGAAGCACCACCGTAACACTTTGAACTCAACAACACTAATGATCTTAGTTAATTAGATTTAATGTTCCCCTGTTTAATATTCGCTTCCCTCCTGAATACTACCTATTTACTTCGACTTTGAACTCAAAGGTAAAAGATGCCTTTAATAAATTAACAATGTTTATTCCGAATGAAAAAGAATTTAATTACATTTTCAGGCCAATGGGCTCGAGCTCGAATTACGAAGGCAGATTGTCTATAGGAAGCCTCCAGTTATATATTGATGAAAGACTGAGGGATGCTCCACCGAGGTAAGTAGGCCTGCGTAAGGCATTAGGTAGAAATGGGTTAAAATCCATTTTTTTGTATGTATGTTACGCAATAATTTGTGAACCGATGATTCTGTCTTTAGAAATAATTTAACTTATATAATATAACTTGGTCATTAGAAATAATTCCGGGCACTTTTGAGGTCGGTGTTTTAGTACTGTTTATTGATTTTAAAATTATTTTACACATTTTTTTTATACATGTGCAACGAAATTTATCTGTTTAGATTGCCATTAATTAATAACAAAAATTTCTAATTAATTATTGATAATAAAAGTAATAAGTAATGATAAAATGATAACTAAGGCATTATCTCTACATAGGTACTAATTACTATACGGATCCTGCGTTATTATTCTAAGACGGGTCAAAATATGTAAAAATTTAAATTTGTTTGTTAAATATTAACTAAAAATTTAATTTTTAAGGGCATGTAAGGGCATTGACAATTCACAAGATGTCACTGAGTGTTTCAATTTTCCTTACACGTGCTCTTGACCCTGTACCTATAGGTACATAAGTATAATCTTCATATCAATTCACACACCAATGTGCTTTGAAACAAGTAAAGGTTACAGATTGTCATTTGATGAGACATTGGCGTTCTTCTTCTATCTTTAAATTATTTGACTATGTTAACATTTGAATTTAAAAATGCAGGTATTCAATAAGAACAGCACCACCCAACGCTAATGCTACTGTGACATCTGCAACTGTGCGATTCGTAAGTAGCTTTACTAATATCATAATCAGTACCATTGAATGAGGCGCGTGAGAGTTCACGAGTCCTTCACCTGCGTTTTTCTCTTGCCTGCGTGACTCGCTTCGCGCATGCGCAAAGATCTGTCGCGTAAGCGCACGTAGGACTGTTCACGAGTCGCTCGCTTGCGCCGGCTGCTTGCTTTGCGTTGGATTCGTTTGTGTTGCGTGAGTTTGATATCTATAATAGCAAGCTTGATATTTCCACGCAAGCAACAAGGAACGTTTGCGGAGGACAGCACCACTGGCGAATCACAGGGTAGCAGCGTCCACCACAATCAAATCAAAAGCTAGGCGCCGCGTATGTGTGCAAATCTCTCCGCATCGCAAAGCGGAAGACTTATAAGCAGATTTATAAGCCGTGTACCCAGCCAACGCAAGCAAACGAAAAACGCAAGTTAAAGACTCGTGAACCCGGCGTTAGCCCGAACAACGTAATTTATGGGTCGTATTCCAGAACAATACTCAATGCTCAAGTCAGGGTTTGAGCAGACTTGAGTATGATTTCATGCACTGGAAATACGAACCTAATGGCAAGGACTTGAGTATGATTTCTAGCGCTTTGAATCATACTCAATGGCAAAGGCTTGAGTATGATTTCCAGTGCTTGAAATCATACTCAAGTCCTGACTTGAGCATTGAGTAGAGTTCTGGAATACGACCCTTAGTATCAGAAGAAGGTGCTATTCTCAGTTTTAAGGTTCAAAATTGTCGTTGGGTCAAACGCCATCCGCAAGACCAAAAAACATTATAAAAGTGCGCCAGAGAGTGGTATTGTCGTCGTCAGCTAAAATCAAATTTTAAGTTGTACTGAAAGATATGTACTTCTTTTTTTTAATATTTAGTTTATTTTTATATAAAAGTCGAACTTGACAATTTAAACTTTGGAATATTCTTGTCACAAGAGTCCTTTAAAGTTGAATTTAAATCGTTAGTATAGTGCGCATACTTGACCCAATACATCACTAAACAACGTCTTTTTTTTTTTCAGATTTACGACTGTAATATTCCACCACCACCGTATACTGCTCCAAAAGAAGAAGAAAACCAAAAAGTTGAAACAAATCAACAGGCTACTATTCATATATGATGACAAAATATAACATTTCAAAACAAGCTACTTCGATTTAAAGTAGAAAACAAATTGTTTTTTAACATTGGTTTCATTTACTACGACTTAACTTGACTGTAAACTCTACAACTTTCAAAGCTTTTAGGGCGAGAAAATCGACAGGCAGTGAGGCAGTGTAGTACAATGACAAGACTACATAGACATTTGAAAAAAAAAAACAAACGTCAAGTTGATGTTCTGTAGGGATGCCAAGTGCTTAATCGGGAAAAAGATCGATTCCTAATTGAATTTCTTTGAATACTCTATCTACGCAATGATACAATGAGAATGTAATTGAAATGTGTTGAAAATATTGCCCACGCTAACTGCGCTCGCTGTATGTTTGTGTGTGTGTGCGTGTGTGCGCGTGTGCGCGCGTGTCTCTGTGAGTGTCTACATACTACTAGTTTGGGATCCATTATTTTCACTGATGAAAAAATCCCAATCAAACATAAGAGCCTATGCACACGGCGTATTTTATACGCGCCGTAAACACGCGTCATCTGCGCATATACGCGCCGCAGACGCATAGGTCCTGAACGATGCCACCCTAATAATAATAATAACAATAATAATAATAGTAGCCGCGCGTATATAGCTTATTATCCTACTACACCATATATTTGATAAGATATAGTATTAATTTTAGATTTGTCTGTTAATTTCACTTCACAATTTCACTACTTTTTGAAATGCAACTACATGCAATTCTAAGTGTAAACTCTAGCTCACTAAACTAGCGTACATTAAGTACAAATGTTTTTTCGAAATAAAAATAAGGTATTTAATTATTCACTTTTTTACAATAGTCAAAAATAGGGTGGTTTTCATTAATATTAGACGTAATGACCGTCATTACTTTATCATAACTTTACCGTCTCAGTCAGCCGTGACCTTGTAAAGGGCCCGAAACGTTGTTTGAAAAATCAAATATATACGCGATTTGGTTCCGAAAAAATAGTTTTATTTCCTATTTGTTTTGATTAAGCTGCCTGAAGAGCGCCTAACGCAATATCAAAGAAAACTGTCAAGGTCATAATTATGATTTTTATGTAATCGGGTCATTATTGTTATAAATATTATTGTAAAATGCTTTCGGTTTCTCACGTAATATTATTTTATCAAAGTTACTAATAAAAAAATACTACTGTGAAACATCGAGGATAGTAGAGAACGGTGTAACTATGCTGAATAATCTCAGTGAAAGGAATAAAGTGGTCTTACGCTGGGTTCCAGACTACTCTGACTTCGGAGGTAATGAGTCAGCAGATGAACTGGCAAAGGCTGCTTCTAAAGAAACCTTTAATAGTCTCGAATCCTTTATAGGGATAGCATATAGCCTGGCTAAGCTCATTCGGCAGAACGAAAGCACACACCTGTCCCAAGAAATGTGGCTACAGAGCAAGGGTCTTGAGCATTCAAAAGCCCTGCCGCCTACAGTGTCAAACACCGTAAAGAAGCTCTGTCATTTTACAGGAATGGGATCGGAATGCTCTCTAGTCTTAACAGGGCCAATGCCCTGTTAATTCTTAAAACTGTTAATTCAATCTGCAATACAGCTTGAACAAGCACTTGTCATATAATGGGCAAAGAGATAATAGAAAGTGTAGATTCTACCACGAGGCGGACGAAACTCCTGTGTATCTCCTCACCCAATGCTGCCCTCTGATGGACGTACGAAGTTCCATACTAGGAAGGAACATGCAACTACCAGAAGACATAAAAACTGTCGTAGCCTGAAAAGTCCTTCAGTTGTTTAATGATGTGGGCCTTGGCTTCGAATTGTACGCAGATAACAAATAAGTAACGGGAACGAACACTCTCCGCCCCTCCCTAGCTTTAGAAACCACACCACGCCCTGCACATTGATGGTTACATTGCTGAACGAGAACAAAGCTGTCGGCGAGCCGTTTTCACGCTATGACGGCTATGGTATTTAAATATAGTTTTCATTTATTTATTACGAAATTTGTACGTTAATATATGTATAACATCATTTTACGTTACTATTTGTATACGGCTGTTTATAAACAACTAAACAGCATAAAGAGAGGAGTTTCTTTCGTTTTTTGAAAGATGAAACGAAGTAAGTAAAAAAAATTTATGTCTGAGACTCATTCAGTTATTGTTTACTTTAGCGCAGAGTAATGTATAATACAGATTTATTATATCAATATAATAAGCGCCATAACTTCGTGAGCTAGACAAGGATTCTCGGATTTTCAATTTGTATTGCCGATAAATATTACGTAGTGAATATATCTAAATAATAACTAGGTAATGATAAAGTTGGACACGCAATTTCAAATACTTCGTTTACCTTATTTAAAGATACCTGTCCAAAATATACCATTTTAAGTGCATTTAATATATTTTTTAAATAAATCTTCATTGTTATTCTAGTAAGTGAATTAATGAAAAATATAATATAATATCGATATAAATACGTAATAAACATAGGTATGTTATTATTAGGATTCTATTAATAGAATTATAGATAACAGATTCATGTTAAAATTTTCGCTATGGCCGCTCTGACCACGTAACGTAATGGTACGAGCAAGTGATGGGTAACCCTGCCACTTCACGCATACATTTGCGCGTGTGCAGATAGCGTCTTCCTGTATGTAGTAGTAGTAGATAAATAATTTTGCTGTAAGTAGTGCCGTAAGTTCAGTCAATGGTTGCAGTGATGAGGGTCTGCATAGGCCCTGAACGATGCCATCCTAATAATAATAATAACAATAATAATAATAAGATGGAAGAGGACGAAGTAGGTTCTTATTGCACACCCACATTCAAATGTTGTGTACACTTATAATTGGATGTCAGATTTATAATGTTATATATATGTAATAGTTCTAGTATTATTTGTAGTCTGTTATCTGTTGTTGTACCATATAATAAAAATAAAAATAAAATAAAATAAATACTCGTAGATACACCCCATACTGCATTTACTTGACTTCGGTCCGTAAATGCGTTTCAAACCAGCTAACAAGCCGAGAAGAATAAAGCAAATAATAATAATAATAACAAGAATAATATTAATAATAATCTTTTAGGCCTTGGGAGACGCGAGAGCCTAAAATAGATATAATAATCATAATACTGACATTAATTTTTAATTTTATTCATAACTTAAATCTTATTTTTGTGAAGGAAATTTTAATATATAAAGCGAATGTCAATAATCTTCTTTGTCTATGACTTCTTTGGCTATTTCCTTCCATGACATTTAATTTAATATTCGCCACCATTACCCTGTCCTGACATTATGTTCCTTAATTCACGAAATATCTGACATAATTAAAGGAATAAACCTAAAAAAGTATTTCTTTTATAATAATAGCAAAACCAAAAACATTTTCTATTCTTTCAACATTTTCTGACAGTGACACCAAAGTGACATATTGCATTACCACTACATCAGCCAAGTAAACAGAAGAAAAATAAAAAGATAAAAACGTCATTCATGTTTATTACTTTGAGTTCGAAGTAAAAACTAGGTATTATTTAATAACAGATAACCGTGAATGATTACTGCATGACCCAACATAAATTGAAGAATATTTTGATGTCAAGTACTAATCGATTATACGATTCTTTTAAAGTATAACGGCATGCCCGCGAATGAATGAACCCCTCACTAAAATTAATCAAATCAAATTAAAAAAAAAGTATTTGCATATTACATTTTCCTTCTTTTGCAATATTGTTTATTTTCATTAAAATATTGGTTAACTAATCTAATTATTACTTTACTGGATCACAATTTTTGCTTAATATCGTAGAATAAATAATACAGAATGGCTGACGAGGAAATCAATGGAGATACAGATGATATCCAAGTTGACAAGGATAAGAATCAAAAGAAAACTGCAAAGCACGACAGTGGAGTAGCAGACTTAGAGAAGGTCACAGATTACGCGGAAGAGAAGGAAATATCGTCGCAGGATATATCTGGCGTAAGTTTACACATGTTTGTTTTGGATTTTGAGGTTAGAAAGTTGTATTAAGTATCTACGCATTGACCTACCATGTATCTCCAAATCTCATCATAGTAAGGCAGTAAGCACCTTTGGAAACTGCAAATTCAAACCATATTCAAATGACATAAGTATATGTCTATTTGCATTCGTATTGCAGTTTGAATACAATTTGGATTTGATTAGCAATGGGCATTTTATTTTTAAGAATGATTCGATTGTTAGCAGAACACTCTCATATATTTCATCTTTCCTGTACTTTTTTTCTCACTTCAATGACAATACTGAATGCAAACAGTCGCAAGTAGAGTTCCTCTTAAAAAACTTTCTTCTAAAATTCTCCATTTATTTATTTTTTTTCTTTGACTTCAATAAAAATTTCTTTTTATTTTTGGTGTTATTGAACTGCAAAATATGTGTGCTAAACTAGATGTGACTCTGTGTTAATTAATAAGTACCAAAAGTACAAATACGAATTATGGCCATGGAGGCAGTTAATGCATTAATAATTAAGTTTTATCATCATTTCCAACATAATACTTGATAGCTACTTCCTGCATCTTCCAGGCACTTTCACTAATTGGCGACAGAAGAAACAAGGAAGCTGCAGAACGTCTGGAAAAGGAAAAGGAACTACAGAAAGTGTCAGTCAAAAAGGATGATATTGAGCTCATTGTTAGTATAATTGTTTGTTTGAGCATACTTTTTACCCCTTAGGCTGTAGTCAGACAGGCTTCTTCTTCTACTTTATAATGTTATAGCTCCATCAATACCATCAATGATTCCGCCAATGTTCAGTTAAGGAACACATTTTTTATTCAAAATTTTACTAGTGAATTTTAACAGAAATCACTGAGAGGAGAATCTACAACAACAGAGAACTTTCTCTGACCACACAGGCTTAGGTCATCTGTCTGCATTTATCTGTACATGTCTGGCTTTTTTAACCTCCATCTAGATTTGTTGTATACCCAGAGTTTTCGACACAGGGTAACAATACTTAGAATAAAAACTAAAATATCTACCTTGCAATTTTATGGACTTTCACTGCTGTGGATATTAACACGATTACCACTTGCAACTTACTAAATACAAAAGATTCTTGACCAGCTGCATTATGGAGCATTTACACCAGGTCGACAGTTGCCGGTCATGCCCCTAACTCTGTGCAAGCTACATTCTAATTGCATGAACTACATAATAGTAGTTTGAAGTTTATTTAGTAGGCAAAACAGTCACTGCCAAACAGTCAGCAATTGTATTGCAATAGTAATGCTGTTAGCATGCCATTGTAACATCTGCATCTGCTGCATCCAAATTGCTTTCTGACTATGTTCAAAGTTCTATTCAACTGCATATTAACTGTACTGAGAAGCCTATCTATACATATCAATTAAACGCAGATAGTGACAATATATTGAGAAATTACAAAGCGAGTAAAGGCTGAGTATATAAATTTACATCCTTACCATATTTTACCATACAACAGCTGGTACTTAAGAAGGAAAACCGGCGTTATTAGCAATAACACCCTTACAGTGGTAAATTACACAACATTTTGTTACTTATATGTACATTGTGCAAAATTATTTTACAAATTAGAACTATAATAGTCCATTTGTTTAGTACTCTAAATTTAAACAATCTTGATACATAGGCATGCAATTTCTTATGAAGCTAAGTATTTGTATTTGAAGGTAAGTAAAAATCTTTTATAAATGTATATTTCATTAATTAGACATCTCAAGATTGTTTACATAAGTATCTAAACAAATGGACTATAAAACTCTCAACACTGTCTAATTGCAGACCTAGAAATCATTTTATATTCTTTACTTTTTTTATTTTTTATTTCTTGTAAATCAAGTTTCCTACACACATACAACATACACATAGAAATATAAATAATGTACACAGGTGACATTCTAGAGAATGCTTTGAACTAGGTACTTAAACCTGTGCAAAATTGGACACAAAAGACACGCATGTACAATACATATTGTACATATTGAACTGAAAAAATAACATTATTTTTTCAGTTACTGGTAATGCAACCTCTTATTGATACTTATATTAAAAAACCCAGAAATTATGTATCCATAATTTAACGTACCTAGGTATACTTCATATTTATTTATGATTGCAGAATGAACACACTTCTCATATTAACTCTTTTCTATTAATTACCTACTGAAAAGAATTTTAATTTTAAGTGTCTATCATTGAGTATATAACCAGAAATAGAGACGAAATGTCTTTTAATTTGTTTGGAAAATATTCTGCCATATCATTACTGTGACAACTGCGCTCCGATTGGCCAGACCGAGTTCGAAACAATTGACGGGTGCCGTCAATGGGTGTCGTCAACTGTTTCACTTCAAATCCACCAGTTAACTTGAGCTTTGCTATAATGGACGAAAATTGCAAAATTACATATTTAATATTTAATTACCGATGAAATGTGATTCCATTTGTTTTGTAATGGATGGTTTGCTGTTTTTCCGACACTACCAAATAAAACAGCAAGGTAATTGTTAGAGATATTTATCTTTATTACAATAAATTCAGAATATTTTTTGGAATATATGGAGACATACACACAGGTCAGTAGTTGGCCTGTCTACATTTCAGTGTAGCACAATTTCAGTGTAGTCACAAACGGGAGTTGCTATTTATAAGAGCTGTATCGCCAATGTGTTACCAGGAACATATGGCCCTTATTTTGTCTCTATTTATGGTTATATACTCGATAGCACAAAACAAGTACTTGGATTAATGTCACAACAATGTGATGACAAAATGTAACAATTTTTTTACTTCCTGTAACTTACTTAGGAGTACTATAATATATCTTATTTATAATATAATGATAACTGCACCCCTTTCCTAATTCTAACTTATCACTGCTCTCTAATCAAGATGTGTATTAATTTTGAAATTTATTATCGATTTCAGGTTAAAGAAATGGAGATCTCCCGAACATTAGCTGAAAGGACACTTCGAGAACACAGAGGCGATGTGGTTGCGGCGCTTATTACCCTCACAAATTAATGTTGTCAATAAGAACATTGCTATTTCGTGAACACATTTTTTATTTTCAAAAACATCTTTTTGTCTTTTTATTTACTTGTAATCTTGTCTTAACTGCCTCCTTGGCCGAAGAGTTACCATGCCGGACTGCCACGCAGAGGTCCCAGGTTCGATTCCCGGGCCGGATGAAATATTTGTATGGCCTACATTTATTTCTCTCGTGAGTTTGGGTGTAATTTGCGGTTGTCTATGTGTGTGTCCATGGCACTCGCGAAACAGGGTTTCCCTAGTGCGGGGCTATGTTGAGTGTGTGCGTTATTATTATTATAATCTCGTGGTTTTATAAGGGAGTCACCACACTAACACATGGAAGAAAAAGCTTTATATCCATGTAATAAGAGCGAAAAAGATGTACTGTATTTTCACATCGACGGTGCGAGAGGCAGCGAAACGCGCAACGCCTGTTTCGGTCATATTGCTTGGATACAAAGCAATTTTTGACCAGCTCGAGCCGATTCTGCAAAATTTAATTTTTTTTTTATTGTTAATGAGTGTGATGACTGCATAGGTATGTACCTAAAACGCAGTTTCCCTTTTTGTATAAACAATAGATTCATGTCATCATCTAGAAGCAATAGAGTGACCTTGATAGACTAAAATAATATTTTCAATTGACATGGGAGCAGCACAGCTCATCGATGTTTAGCTTTGTTGAATTGATCCGAATCTAATAAATGATTATGTTGACCCATTATACTTATCCTTGCAAAAAGTAAAGTTAAGTCCCTTTGCACAGTGCGTATTTTATACGTAATCGCTTGTATTACTTTAGTACCTGTATTCATCTACAGTGGTATATGCCATACGCGCTGTAATCGCGTGTATGTATCGCGCATTTTGATAAGAGATAGTTTTGATTTTAGTTTTGTTTGTTAATTTCGGTTAATATTTGAAATGAAGCAACTGCATGAAATTCCAAGTGTAAACCCAAGTGGAGTATTATAAACTTCTTGCTTGCAACCAGTGAGCATAATATCATTGCTTGCAACACAATGTTTGCGCGCGTTTGAATCGATTCAGTGTAAAATAGGCCGTGTGTAGGTTGTTATAAACATAATTTTTATACATTTTTACCTTTTTATTTTTTTATTTAAAATATTTTTCAATAGTTCTTGAGACAAACTGTAAGTTGCCAATGTATAAAATCACGCTTCGTTCTACGCACTTGCACATTACGTTTGTAGGAGGAGAAAACAGATTGCATGCCTGGGGAAAAAGTTTTGTTCGTTGTGAAATTGGAACGCAGAATACAGAACATAAAAAATAATAATTTATAATCTATGGTAAAGTAACAAGGTGTGCTTGCTCTGTTTCGACTTCTTTTGTTTTTATTTCCAGTTTTATGGCAAAAATTTCTAATTTCTCGCTTACATTCTTGGTCTTCTAAAATCATCGTGTCTCAGTGCTGTAATTCCTCCGTCCTACGACCATTATACGCATTGGTAAGTGAATTTGCATTTCGTTGAACGTCAAATCGGTGGAATACCTACCGATATTTTTACGAATATCGTCCTTGACGTTTGGTTTTATTTCGATCAGCGTAGCTTATGTACTGGACAAGAATGCTAGAACGCTTCATAAAGGCATTTCAGTAATCCATGCAAGACATGAGACTATTCCAAAGTGACGTCAAAGGAACATGGAGATCGAGCAATCTATTTGTAGTTCATATGTGGTCCTTTTAGGTCTCCTTTCACACATTATGGTTTTTTTTTCCAGCATATATTTTGATTCTAAACGGAGACGGTAAGCGTAACCTGACTGTACTTTGTTCTCAAATTATGAGTGTCTTTTGTCTGTCAATATCACAGCTGACTTTGTAGATGTTCCTACTTGTCAATAAAGAATCCACTGCCAATTTACTTAAATATCCTTTGTGCATATGATGTGTAAATTTACTTAAAAAAACAATTTCGTTTCTGTAATAGTCTGTGTAGGTTCTCTGTCATAGATTTGTAGATTCTCCTCTCAGTGAATTCTGTTCGAAATTCACTGGTCAATTTTGAGTAAAAACTCATGTGTTGCTCAACTTGACATTGGGCGAAATCATCAATTACTTCAATGGGGCCGTAACATTTAAAAGAAGAAGTAGAATATATATAACCCCATTGTATTAAGCTCTTTGTAAGCGAACCCATCTTCAGCCAATTGTTAATGCTTTGATGACTGTTCTTTAAATAATACCTACATTAAATGTAACTGATAAATTGTCAAAGTGAATGCTGCAAGTATGTTGTTTTCACTATCATATTTGAGTGTTAAGTAGCTCAGAGAGATACTAGTTACTCATTATAGAGCATTGGTATGTATGGTCAACAATACATTAAGCTATACGCTTTTGTTCAAATATCACCTCTAGTGCAATAGAACAAGATTTGTCAATGTGTAACTTGATGTGCTACCGACTGTACCTCTTTAATTTCTTTGTGAATATAGTAGTCATGTCTCATTAAGAGTGAAAGTAAACATCCCAATGAAATATCAGGAGAATTTAAAACATGTTAAGTCCTTAACTCGTTTTGGGCGACTGTGGTGTAGTGTGGTGTGGTGTAGACCCCCATCCTTAGTGTAGAGTCCCATGCCTAGAAGTGAGACACATAAGGTGCCAGACAAATGTGTGTCTTATGTTGGATACAAGTAATCAGCAACTTGAAGTAAATATCCTGTTTTCATATAATTGTGATTGCCGCAATGGGTGACTGTCTTGATTTCACATTAATTGTGTGAAAATAGAATATTCACTTTTAATAGCAGGTTGCTAGTATTCAACACAAGACACATATTTTTTGATGATGTCTATGACATTGAAAAAATGTACTAAATTCCTTCTCTACAAACATGATTTGAATATACCTGTAGAGCGCTATCGGTGTTTGCAAAGATTCTTGCTCGCAGATTCGCCAAGTGTACTGCTACAGTAAAAATTACGCTCTTTTATTTATTTATTTATTTATTTATTTATTTATTTATTTATTTATTAGGCACACCAACAGTTACTACAATAATTCAAGAGTAAGTAATACATTTCACAAACTATTCTAATTGCGTAACCATTTATAGGCGAGCACCTCAAGCAAAAATAAACATGTGTGTATAAATTAAAAGGAAAAAGAAGAGGAAACAAAAAATAACAAAAACAGTTTTAACACCAAGAAACTAACTTAAAAAGATATGTATATTTTTAAGCAGAATACAAAACGCAACAAATACTTAACCATGTTATCTGGTCGAACCAAGAAAAGTAAGAATTTTGTTTCTAAAACCTAGCCGCGAGTCAATAAATATATCGGCATGTTTGGAGCAGTCATTATATAGATTAGACATGCGAGCTACAGGGGAGTTACAGCCCAGTACCGTTCTATGACGAGGCGGGTGAAAAAGCCTTACATGAGATCTCGGAAGTCTGGCAGGAATCTTAAAATTTAAATTACCAAGCAATTGTGGACAGTCAACTTATTATTTAGTAGTCAACGTATTTAATTATGTAAAGACAAAGGAATGAATGAATGAATGAATGAAATATTCTTTATTGCACATAAAAATTACAATTAAAATCCAGTACAATAGCTTAAGTATAACAGTAGTGGTAATTCAATGTGCAACAGGCGGCCTTATTGCTATGTAGCAATTTCTTCCAGGCAACCTTAGGACAGACATTTCAGATATGCAAAAGAGGTGATGATGACAAATGATACTTAGTATGGGGTCAGAGTCATATTTTGTGTGTAAAAGAAGTTTATTTATGTCTTTTTTGTTTTCTAAGTATATATAGGTGGAAAACCTTTTATATCAAGAATTACTTGAAGGATTTCCAAAATTGTGTCATTATTTCACAGGTCACCCTTTAAATATTTGGTCAATCATGGTTAACATACGCGCATCAAAAACAAATTCCAGGCCGAAGTTCGTATATTTAGTTTTTTTTTCTTAATGAATGGCTTGTGAGATAAATAAATAAATTAATGAAATAATAAATTATTGTCTCAATTCTGCCAGTGTCCATTACGTGTTAGTTTCATAAACATCAAAGAGGGAGTGTTTAAGGAAAGTTAGGTGACTCCAAAGGAGTATTAAAGAAATTTTTGCACAAGTTGATCCCTGAACAAAAAAGACAGCACAAATTGTTAGTAATAATGCATAATATTTACAAGACGAGTATGAGGGGCATTTGAAGCTTAAACTTAGCAGATCGGATCCACACTGCTGCTCCTAGAGGGAGAGTTTAAGGAAGCATCAGTAAATATGATGCGCCGTCCGGAATACGCGCAAGCGATCCTTTGGTTAAAAATGCCTTGGGGATCAACGGAATCCTTCTCTATGTCAAAATGAAGAAGAATATTAGGCTGGAAAACGAGAGTTTCATAGCAAGCTTTTGGGAGTATGGATGAGAACCCCACCACCCTCCTGAAAGGGACCGTAGAATATTATTTTATTATTATTACAAGTTTGAAATGAGGGACACCTGTCATTCTGGAATCTAGCATGATACCTAAAAATTTGATTTTATTTGCTCATGGAACGATTTCTTGACCTATGCGAATTTCAAACGGAGGGAGAACTCTTCCTGGAGAAGACTGGCACAATTTTTGGAAGGGGAGAGGGATAGACCATGTTCCAATAATCAGTCATTTAGGTATGACAGAGCCGAGTTCAGTCTATTTTCCACCTCCTCTACAGAGCTTACCTTAACAAGTAGAGCCAAATCATCAGCATATTCGAGTACATCGCAGAATGAATTGATTGATGACTGTAGGTCGTAAGTATAGAAACTATAAAGTAACGGGCTTGAAACAGATCTTTGGGGAAGACCTTTCCAGACGGTTTTCGGGGATAGGGAATTTAGGGTAGACTTTACTACCCGACGCTCCGTCAGCAGTTGGAAATAAAACGAATGAGCTTATTAGGTATACTCAACTGGATGAGTTTTCTCCGGAATAGCGAAAGCAGGACGTTGTCGTATGTTGAAGCGATATCGAGGAACACTTCAACAAGGTATTTCTTT